TTAATTTATCAATTTTGATTAGATCAAAATAATATTTCACGTCGTTAGGCATCGTGGTCGGGAACCTAATGGGTCACACACAAAAGAGAATTGGAAGATTGCAAATTGCTAATTGGTTAATTTAACAATCGTTGAATAAATTAATTAATTGGATTTGTTATTTATTTGCATTTCCTCCTCTTTGAAATATGTCAAACATGCCCAATGAGAGTATACCAGCAAAGATAGCTCAACCCTCACATTTTTTCCATCAATGATTATTAACTAAACAGTTCTTTGGAATCATGTCCACGGCCAAAAGCTTTTACTTCATCCCGAGTCTGGTCCAACCCGAACCTTCTTCTGCTTCCATATTCAATGGAGAAATGGAGTTTAACTGAACCGTTTCAAGTTGTTGGCCCATTCCCCATTTTGCAGCAGGCCAAAGTCTCCATTATGGAGAGCCATCCCAAATAGCATTATTGCATTTTGCCATCAAATAATTCAAAGGTGAAATTAAAAAATAAAATAAAAATGCTACATGTGTGAATTTACCATTTAAACAACAAAGGTAACACAAAGTGTATTTTGCATGTCTCTGCCTTCAGCATAGGACTCAGAATTCAAATTGGCTGTTCTAATTGGGACATTTATAGAAGAATTCTTCAATTTGCATGATAGACAATTAAACCAGCACTCAACCACGAGATAATTAATAAGTTGCTATAGGTTTTGAGATTTTTGTCTTGAAATTTCGATTATTCTGGGCTAGAATTTGGAATAAATCAAGACAATATGCATTAGATTGATGTCGATCAAGACAAATCAATAGGAAAAAAATCGTGCAAAATGACTAATTAATTCCCTTGATTCCAAGAATTTGAAGGTGCATCCTAAGTTATGAGTAAGGTGTTGCAGTTTACCAAGGTCATACCAGACAATTAATAATATTTAAATTATGTTGGGTTTCATAATCATACATTAATTGACCTTATCATTTCATGGTTCATGCCAGATACACGAGTAATCATCTCGGATGGAGATAAATAACATTATTCTATTCGATATTCTAGATTTAGATGATCATCTGTCCAGGTGGTTGTGAGAAACACAATATCTAAATTTGATTTCAATTTTATTAGATAAGGTGACACTCATCCCTATGCTATGTCAATCAATGATCATTTAGATTTTTAGAGGTACGTTTGACATGCCGCATTAGACCGGAGATAAAAAGTGTTATTCCTTTATTTAGCAAGTCATCTTTCATAGAGATAAATAGTATATTCATTTTTTTAACAAGTTAACTTGTAAAACAAAGGTCACTCCACCATCAAGACATTCTTGATTAATCATATTAAAAATTATAGCAACCCATGTCTAATTTGAAACATTGAAATTCATTCCAATTTCCAAACAGCACAACTTGAGCTACGACTATTCAAGAAGTAGTCGAAAACTAGAAGGATAAAAAAAAAAAAACACATCCAATGGATTGCCGAGCTTCAAGTCATACGACATTGGAGCGGTTACTGATACATAAGTTTCTAATGCTGAGGACCAACTTTTCCAATCGATTCAAATTAATGTGAAAAAATTATGTTTGAACTCCAATTTTTGAGGAAAACATGTTTTATAATAGTTATTTTTTCAAGAATGTATGGTTAAAAAATAAAGAAAATTTTGAATTTACGTTTAAAAATATTTTATGTTTAAAAATATTTTACTTGAGAATGTGTAATTGAAAATCAGTGCAGAGCTCAAACAAAAGCATATATTAGCTCCTTCAAAAATCATAGTAGATTCACAAATCAAGATAACCCTTCAGCTTGTGTGAGCATTTTCAAAAGACTCTCTATTTTTAAGGAGCATTTTCTATTATTTGGAGAGCTTTTATAAATAAAGAGAGTTAAAATTTTAAAGTACTACAACAATCTTTTTTTATTTAACACTTAATTTGATTACTTCCAAAAAATATTTATTATAACATTGAAAATTGAAATACATTGATTTGGAGAGCCAAACTTGCTCTCTAAATTAAAAGGGTAACTAGCAAAAAAATTCCTGTCATTTGTACTCATTGCAAAAATGGTCTCTACCGTTTCAAATTTGCCATTTACACTTTCATTTCAAACTTTCTTTTAGAATTGGTCATTTTTGTTATATTCAGTTAAATCATCTAGTTAAGCCCCTGTTTGATCCTCATTACGTAGAAAAATTAATGGGGGAATAGTATTTTTTTGAAAAATGAGTGGTTGAAAAAGAATGAAAAGTTTTCGATTTACGCGTAATATTATTTTATGGAAGATTGTGTGGTTGAAAATAGGAGAGAGAAAAATGAAATGTAATAGAATTTAATGTAATGGGGCTCAAACAGTGGCTAAATATGTAATTTGATGCAAAACGTTCCTCCTCGTTTGATTTAATTGCACAAATAGTCCCTATAATTTCAATTTTGACATTTGATAGTCAGATTGACATATTTTTGCTGAAAATGTCCTTATTTTCCACTATAACATTATAAAATGACTAATTTATTATCTTCTTTAAATAAATAAATAGAAAAAAATAATATTAAAAAAATGTATCTAGAGTTTCTAATTTTTCAAAAATTACAAACGATTCTCGTTTAATACACTTTAAAACATTCTAATAAAAGAAAAATATTTTATTTTTTAAATTAATCCACCTATCCATACGCCTATCCACCACCACCAAAATAACTAAAAATGAGAATTAAAAGTATAAAAAAAAAAAAAAAAATTGATGAGGAATATGCATTGTTTTGTTTTATATATATATATATATATAAAATTTATTTTTACATTTATTATACTTTTAATTATCTCTTTAATTAATTTTGTGGTGGTGGTGGAGTGTAGGGGATGGACATAGGGGTATGTGGGTTAATTGGAACGATAAATTTTTTTTTTTAATTAGGATATTTTAGATTAATTTATGTGAGACGCGTTTGTACTTTTTGAAAAATGAGACTCTAAATGCAATTTTTCTATATTTGTTTATTTAAAGATGATGATAAATTAGTCATTTTGTAATATTATAATGGAGAAAATGAATGATAATGACATGTTAAGCAAAGAAATGTCGATCTGAGTGTCCAAATATCAAAATTGACATGATAGGGATTATTTGCACAATGAAAACAAACGATAAGAATATTTTGCTCCGAATTACACATATTTAATGGAATATAACGAAAAAGGCCAATTTCGTAAGAAATAGGGGTGTAAATGAAGTTTGAAACAATATGAATCATTTTCACAATGAGTACATAACTACAAATGATAAGAATGTTTTTTTGCTAGTTATTCAAATTAAAAATATTGATTTGAAGACTCTCTCGAAACATAATTTTAAGGATTGACTCTTTAAAATAAAGAGTATCTCATGCTTAAAAAATCTCTTGAAGATGTTCTTAAAAACTATTAACTTGTTTTTAGACCATCCAGAATTTTTAGGTTATGGAATTAAACCATCTAATTTAACTTTTTTCTAAGGGAATTGTTCTTTTTATTTTTTTTAGACTCACAATTTTTTCATTTTTTTTAGTAAAGATCTATTTGAGTTGTAAAACAATAATCGTTCAATAGCCATCCATGTTTGAGTTGAAATATTTGCGTTCACATTAAATTCCTTTTTTATTTTATAATTTGCAAGTAAATATAGAATTTTAATTCTTAAGGGCAAAGAATTAAGAATTTGAATAACCCCTTTTTAAAAAAATATTATGTCCCTGTTTGGTTGGTAATTAATTAAGTTTTTAGTATATTTAATAAAAAAATGATGAAATGTATAATTAAAAAGTTATGAATTCATAATAACTATGATTAAATTAATAATTTTAGTTTAACTTTTAATCTCTACAGGCTAAATTTCAATATACGAGCCTGTTTAAAAGTGATTTTTTTCTTAAAAAATTGATGTTTTGATAATTATTTTACTATTTTAACCTTCATATTTGATTTATTCCTTCACAAATAAATTTCACTTTTCTCTTAACAATAAAAAAAAAATATTCTCAAAATCGCTCAGGCTTTAAAGTATTCCTTCTATTTTTTTAAGTTTTGTTCCATCGGTGCAGTTGACCTTTGCGCTTTTGTTTTGTCTTTTCTTACCATCATTTGCCTTCCACTTTTCGCCTCCACCCCGCCATGACATCACCCGCCGTTACCTGCTCGTCGACGTCGTTTCCACTTCATAAGCCTTCATCTCCTCCGTGAACTAACCCTATATACCAATTCCATTCAAGAATCTGTCTCCCAAAAAATCCAATCTTTAATTAGGGTTTTGTTGATTTCGATTTTTTTTTTTTAACCCTAATGGCTTCTGAAAAATTGGGCATGGTACCATCCCAACAAATGCACAATGGGCTTATCTCGCACCCGCACCCTCACACTCACCCTCATCCGCAGCTTGTTTATCCAGAATTCGCCTGTAGCTCACAAACGCCCCACCGCCGTTCCGCCGCTGCCGGTGACCCTGGCCCGAAATCTTCCACCCAAGAGCTCACTGCCAGCTTCCTCGACCACCGCCACTTCTACCAGCACCATCACCGTCACCAGCCGCCTCCAGCACAGCCTCAGACGCATACCACTGAGTTTCGTCACCAGTGGACCAACAGCCGCAGCTCCGCTACTCCCAGTGGTGGTGAAGCATCAGAAGACGATGACGTGGAGGATGACGATGATGATGACGATGATGATAATGATGATGAGGACAACAGCCAGAATATTGCCACTGTGGCCAAAATCAACCATACTGATGCTAATGAAAAATTTAGCAATAGTAATAATAATCAGAAATTGAAACAGCTTTCTGCATTAGGTAAATGAAAGGAAGAGAATTTTCAGATGTTTAATATTTTTCTTAGATATCCTTATACACATGATTTTTCTGGTCTTGCTGTTAATTTATTTTTATTTTTATTTTTTTTTACAATTATAGTGATCAAAGAAGGTAACTCGGTCCAAATTCGAAATGGGGGCAGTAATGATAATAACAATAGTAGTGAAGCAAGGAATATAGGAGAAGAAGTCTATTACGCACATTACTTGCACGGGGCTGAGGGGCTGAGCTTGTCATCTGGGCAAAAGGATATCATGACGGTGGAGAATGGGTGTGGGAATAGCAAGAGAAAGGAGAGTTGTTATTCAAGTGAATCCCAGGAGTCATTGAGGACCATCCTCTCTGATCCTCTCACGTGAGTTTCTTCTTATTTATGAATTTTGTTTTATGTTTTTATCATGGATGTTAACTCCAATTTGGCTAATCTTATTGAATTTGTTGGCTCTTTAATTTAAAAAATCTAGCTGGATGGTGCATAGGTTTATATAAATATGGTTGAACGAAAATGTTGGGTTTGTTTGCTTCTTTTTGTAATTTATTAGTTTACATTGGTTTGAAAATAAATATAAGGTTATCTAAACTGCTGCTGCTCCTGGATTCAAGGCTTCAAGCTATATTCACTGCGTTTAGGAGAGGTGCTGAAGATTTTTAATTTTTTTTCTTAGATATATCCTCAGTCATCAAAGTTGAGATTTTTTTACGAATTATTCTAATTTTCGAATGGAACTCTTAAAATCACTCACAGATAATCTTATATATATTATACCATATAACAGAAAACACGGCCATCCAATGGTTTATGGGGCCTGGAAGTGCTAGAAATTATACAAAAAGGCACTGTTTGAAAATTTTTCTGAAAACATTATTCACTTCTATCTCCTATCATAAGTTCTAAATGCTTTTTACTCAGACTATATAGTCAATCCGACTCTCATTTATGCTTCCTTAATCTGAATACTCAAATTGACGACAAAATGTCAACTTCCTATGTTCAAATTGATAGCGCAGGAGTGAAATTGATAAATCTTCATGGATGAAAATTTTAATTTCGCATATCTAAATGAATTCATTTTTCAACGTGAGTGCTGGAAATGTCTAATTGTGTCCATAAAAATCAGCCTCGACTATAATTGTCTTTTCTTTTTGTTTCTTCTAATGCATAGTTTGTTTGTGTGATTTGTTTAGCTTTCTTTCTAAGTTCAGTAACTTTGGTTATTCATCTAATGTATGTTTACACGTTCTTTTCTAACTAGAAGATGTAGTTCAATTTCTAATTTCTAATGTTGGATCATTAACATTTCTAGTCACTAAACTTGTGGCAAATCCTCATCCGGCTCATTGTAGTTTAAATTTGTTCAGAATGATCACTTAACTTAATATGTTGCACCATTAGTCAGTATTTTTCTCTCTTCTGTTAATGTTAATAAAACTTAAGAAAATTTTTTTGTGGCACTTAACTGTAATGGAACGATGGCATGGTACATTTTCTTTTGGAAAGTGAAATTTGTACATCCAACAAGCAATGATTGTAGGCCCATAAAACAATTCCTTCCTCTTGCTTGGGAATTTTCTTCCCCTCCCCATTTTCACTGGATTGCTGTTGCCTTCCACTGCTTCGGGCCACCGTCATCTGACTTCTTCCCCCATCTCCGTTGAGTCCCTGTTGGCTTCCACCGATGACCACTCCCTCCTATGGTTCTACCATTTTCATCTCCTTTCCAGTGCTTTTGGTGTTTTAGGCCTTCGTTCCTCATACCTTAGGTTTTATGGCTGTTGGGTTGGTGGTTTTGGTGCTGCCTTTAGCGTTGTGACCCCTTATTTCCTTTGTTTTAAGCTTGGATTGGGTGTATGGTGTCGTTTCCCTAAATTTCCTTGTGGTGGTGGCTTGATGGGGGAGATTGTCATTACATCGGTGTTCTCATACCTTTCTTTCCACTGGTTATTGTTGGCAAGGTTTGGCTTCTTGGTGGTTTCAGCTGTTGTTGCTGGAGTGCTCGAGGCTTCCATTTGGGAGGAGGGCGGGTTGAGATGTTGTTTGGGGGGTTTATTTATATGAGTGGATTTCAGGGGGAAGATGAAGTAAATTTATTTATTTATTTTCTTTTAACATTGATGCTTTTGCATTACACTTTTTTTCTTGTTGGAAATGAACACATTTTTTCAAACAAAATTGTGCCACAACAGCCTTCTATTACTGTTAAATGTCTCTTAAAGACTTTTCCATTACTTTTACTAAAGGGAGTAAAATAGTGACTTAGGTTGCAAATTTAAAGCTAAGTGATTATTTCGAGACAAATTTAAGTTTGGTGATCTAAACGAAATTTCACCGTCTAAAAATTAATTCAACACAAAAAAAAAAGGTTGTTGCCGCTATCTGATCCTTTCTTTCTCTACAATGTTGAAGGCAAATGTTGATATCTAAAATTTTTCCTGCTATGTCTTACATTTACTAGCTTGTTATATTCAATACAAATTGAAAAGGAAGTTTGATTTTGTATGATGCTTGTGATAATAATAAGTGAGATTGGAGCATATTATACGATGAGCTTGTTCACAGTATTTGTTGGTGATTTACTACTACAAAATTTAATGTGGTCTCTTAAATGATTTTTTGAACTTTATGTATTTCATGTTAAATTGCCCTTTTACAGAGGAGCACTTATGGATGATGCAATGATATTGCGTTGTGGACATTCCTTTGGTAGTGGTGGAGTGCAACAAATAATTAGAATGGTAATTCCTGAGGAAGCTAATTTTATTTTTGTCTGTGAAGAGATTCAATTCTTATGTGTCTAATGCTAACCATCAGTCCTAGCAAAATGCTTCAGCTTTGTGTTTCAACTCTCCTGCTACTCCAAGCATGCTTGGATGGGTTCAGACATCTGGCATAATCATTTGTTCATGCATATATAGCTACACAAGTTAAGTGGAGAGATTACAGATTGTCACCTTTTCAAGATTTTAAAATTTGGTTTTGGCGGAACAAAGCCTTTTATGACCTTATGAGATCTTCATGAACTGCTGTAGGACTAGAAACACTTTTTGTTAATGTTATTGAGGTTAATGCAGTATCTTCATTGGTGATATCTGCTTAAAGGCAGAATTGTTATATTTCTGATAATTCAGGATAATTATACTTGAATGACATAAATTCTATATCCTCATTCAGTTTCTGCCTTCCTTTGTGTTTTACTGAAATTCTTGATCATTTTTTTGTACTGTAATTTTACTTCCTGTAATAAAGTAATCCATTGGTTTTAACTTTTCAAGATTGAGTTGTTTGGTTCTGTGTTGTACTTAATTGGCATTCAATAACAAGCACACTCTCTGATTGAAGTTAACTGATATATGGCCTGTTTTACATTGCACAATATATGTCCAGAAAGCCTGCTATACGTGTTCACAGTCTGTATCAGAGGACTCGATTGCTCCAAATCTGTGTAAGTTAAACTATCCTGTCGTACTAAAAGTAAATATTTTACTATTGACATTGATTTGAAAGCCTTCGTTGGGTCTTTGATTTCCAACTGTTGTAGTTTTGTGTATGGGTAGGAAATGCATTTTTCTGTTTTCATTCTTTCAGATAACTGTCTTCATTTCAGCCAGTATTTAACTCGTAAACCTTTTCTTTTTTAACCATTTTTCATAATTGATTTGATATTAGTTCTATCTGATGCTTAATTTTTTGCACAATATTTCTCTCTAAAGATCGTATAATAAACTGAAGTTTTTCTTTTTCAGTTTTATAAATCTAATAAACATGTAGTACGTTATTATTCAGAGTGTTATAATTTTTTTATACAGTCCTCTGTTTCTCAAACCTTTTGAAAGTTTGTGGTTTTATTGCAAGTCAATGAATTTGCAAATATAAACAGAAAGTTACAATTGTTTATTTGTTAATCGGTTCTTTTTGTTTTGTTTTTGAAGCTCTACGCCTTGCTGTCCAGGCATTCCGGCGAGAACAACAGATGCAAGTTAACCGAACATCAAAGAAAAGGAGGGAAAGATACGATCAGGTATGATGTAAAACTCTATAACTTAGTTGCATATGTGAAATATTTTTTTTCAAGGAGAATTATGTTTCGTTAGCTGGTCCTAAAGTATTTGTTAATACTTTTAACTTCTCTTATAATATGATTGGGTCCAACTTAAGTTTCACTCATCCTTGTGTAGGACAAGGGAACTTGTGGCGATTCAGTGCTTACAGAACACCCAAGGGGAAGAGGAGTTCAGTTTCCATTTGCCGTTACAGATAGAGTTATTATAAAGGTTTTGCATAGAAATCCAAATTTCATGGACATCACTTAATTAACAAATTTCAGTTTCTAATTAGGAATTACTGAATCAGGGTAACAAGAGAACACCTCAGCGTTTCGTTGGACGTGAGGCTATTGTCACCACACAGTGCTTGAATGGATGGTAACCCACTCTCTAAATACTATCCTCCTATTTTCTCAGTTTTCACTGACTGTCTATAAAATTTTTACTGATAGTCTATTACTGTACTAATAGTAGTTGGCCAAGCAATTATCCTTACTTTTTAATGGAAGTCTTGCTGTACGGGACTTTAGAACCATAATTCTGTGTGTACAATTACATATACATTCAGGGACCTTCCCTTCTCTCAAGTTATATCAACATTGTGGATTCATTCTGGACTGGACAATTGTTATGTGCACATATTATTACTGGAGTATTTGTCAAATTATTTTGTATTGAATTCTTCCATCCCTATATGAAAACATCGGTAGTTTATTTAGATCTTGATAGCATCATGATCCTCCAATTTAAAGCTGTTGAATGTGAAATCCTGTCAGCCTTCCAATTTGATTACTATATGAAATCTTCCAATTCCACCTTTACTTTCGACCTTATTGCTTGGATATGTGAACTTTACATCCATAAAGCGCTTTAGGAGGACGAGAGGATAAACGTTGAGCAGAAAACAGATAAAAGTAACCATGTCACCCTTGGGTTTTATTTGAATCTTCTTTTTCCAATACTTGTTGCGTTCCTTGTTTTCTCCTTGAGTTTGGAAACATATTTTTAACTTGTTCTGCTTTGCCAATTCAAACTGACAGGTACGTGGTAAAGACATTGGACAATGCAGAGAGCGTGAAGTTGCAGTACCGCTCACTAGCCAAGGTGGCAGACGATCCATCTTCCAATCCGTTGCCCATTAAGATGACCCCTAACTGGTTATAGATTAATATTTAGATAGCAATCATATGATAGTGCTGCAAATTAGACTCATTTTGTATACATAATTTAACCAACTCCAGCATAAACAGGTTTTCGGCGTTTCCTGTTCTACTTCCTTACACGTGAAAGCAGGTTTGAGTTGTATATTGTAGAAACCTTGTCGATCATCCTCTCATAGTGAAGCGAGGGATGTATGAGTTATATAATCATTTCTTGTAAAATAGCACACTTTTGCCTTCTACCTTCCTTGTGTTCCAAGTGTTAAGTACTGAATGATCGCCATCTTTATAATCACGCTTTGGCGCGTACTTTAGAATATTGAATACGATTGAACAATATAAAAGATAAGATTTTTGTATTGTGAATTAATATGGGTGATGTTATATGTACATTGGGGCATATAAAGGAGGATCTACTTCGAATAAAATATGATTTATTTAAAGTGAATACCCCTTCATGTAAAGGAGGTGAATGCCCATTAGACACCACTTGATGTATAAGTAACATTATCCAATTCATATTATCTTATTATGAAAAATAACTCACTTTGACAAACTAGCTTTCATTTCATTTTATTGTCAGATACAAATGCTAAGTAATATATTCAGACAAATATCTAAATCAATGTACAAAAATGAAGAAAACATCCTTAAAAAAATCAGTTATTGATTCTCACTAAAAATTATAAGAAACACGTACAACTTGTTCGTGTCAGCCCAAATGCCGAAACAATGAAAGATAAAAAATAAATATTCAAAACTTAATGATCTAAACATCAGAAGTTACATGGTAACAGTATGTGAAAAAAAAAAAAAAGAGAGAGAAAAAGAAAGAAAGAAATTTCACTACTTAGTCTAATGCTATAGTTATACTGAATATTTCAGTATATTGTTGAAATAGTTAATGATTAGGGATGTGGTAAATTTTCCATCGACAACAAGAAGTTACAGGTTGAATATATGGAAGCAGCAGCAGCCCTAATGGATAAGTCCCTCTCTGAGATATCGGTTTCCCCTAATCTGCAGCAAAATATACAACAAACTAGTTTTAAAAACTCAATAATAAAAGCTGCAGGAGGGGAAATATAATAGTTTTCCACTAAAAATTGCAATTAGAACATGTAGATGGTAGACTGATGCTTGCTTATAGATGTAAACTAAACCCCCATGTAAATGTTCATTAAACTACCATTATCAAAGTTTTGAAAGAATAACCGAACTTACAGTGCTTGAATATAATGTAAACATCAAAGTACGAATTGAACTCCAATGTGAAGTAGCAAAGAGAGATTATCAACAGTTTAGGTATATCAGAAGATAAAGAGCTGAGATATTTCAAGAATCTACAATATTAAGTGCTTGTGTGGGAGTGATTTTTTGTAAATTACATTTCCTCTATACCCATTTTCAACCACAATCTCCCAAAAAAAAAAAAAAAAATTACTTTTCATAAAATCTCTTCACAAAAGGGCTAATAAATGCAGGGAAATCCCAATGCTATTCTCTATTCAAATCCCAGTAATATGCCCCTGTTTGGGCTCCATTTTGGGAAAAATATGTTTTGGAATAGTGAATTTTTTGGAGAGTATGTGAATAAAAAATAAGGAAAATTTTGGATTTACGTATAATATTATTTATGGGAGAATATATAGTAAAAAATGAGTTCTGAAAAATAGAGCCCAGCCTGTGGCTTCACCATCATATCTAAATTATGTTACATTTGAAGGAGTGCTACTTAGGGCAATATCATTTTTTGTTGAAGAACTTGTAACTTTGGTTTAGCAATAAGCACAATGGTTACTCTTTTGAACATGATATCATTATATTCTGTCTCTTTGGAAATGTTTCTCACATCACTATAGTAGTAGAGTTTATTCTTGTTATTGCTTAACTTGGATAATTTGACTTCGACTCTCTTCCCATTTGATGTGCATTTCTTGTTCTTAAACTTCAGTAATTTTACTCAGGAACATGCATGTTCGTCTGGACCATTTTTGATGGCGCACAATTTCTTCCAACTTCCTTGATTTGTTGATGCAAATTAAAAATCAGTGTAAAAGGTAATTTCCCGAAGCATATAATGTCAAGTATCACCAGGCCTTTATCACACATGTTCATAAACTCCAACAAAATCCAATATAGTGAAGAAAAATTGAATCTCATTTTTTGCTCATAGAGCTCTGCTATGTCTCTATTCGAGTAAAAAGATTAGAAATAATTTCTAGCTTCTACTAAATACAAAAGAGAGAACGCGAGAGTTTATTTAAGTTTGATTGTTTGCGCTTTTCTAATATGATGTATCTAGTAATTACGATTCAAAGTATCTACGAACTTCTAGATATGTTAAATTGCCTAGAATAATGAAGGTACAAGAGTTAATGAGTCTGCCTAGTGAAGCATATAACTTGTTGGAAATACTAGTTAAATTTACCTGCAGTCATTTCCCATATGCTGCAAAGAACGCTGGCCACTGTGTTTGTAAAGACCCCATTCGCAATGCAACTGCATTTCCTTTACTTGTTTCAGCCAAGTTTCCTGATAATCAAAATAGACCATGTTCAATTGTGCTTTCCCTGGATGTGGTAAATGGGGGAAAAAAACAAAAAGAATGGGAACAGTAAAGAACAATTGTGCAGAAACCATAAAAAGACAAATATAAACATGTATTCAAGGTAAATGCAAGAAGTATTTGCAATATTCCTTTGATCAAGCAAGAAGATCAGTGGATCGTGTAAATGTAAATGTATAGTATTTGTTATCACCTCAGTTTTTAGCAATATACCAAGATATCATGATTCAAAGATAATCAAATAACCCCAGCAACAGTAACAGAGTGTTGATAAAAGGTCCAAATGCAATAATCATGTAACGGAAACAAATTCTTGACACCCATGAACAAAAGAAATAGCAGCGATAATTTTCAAGCTTTCACTCAATGTTCATATTTCGAGTCGCAAAAGAAAAAAAGTAGAGCCTGAAAAACATGATTTTCTGACTGAACTTCGACAAATGGATTCTTAGTAAGACAGTTCTGTGCCACAACCTGAACCAAATAACAAAGCATATAGAACAGAAGTAAAGACAGATCACCCGCCATCAATTCATCTACTGGATTGTGCTTAAATATTTATAGTTAAGAAGAACTACCAACTCACCAGAAGATTCTCTTCTTCACAAAGTGTTTTATCCATCTGAGCAAACCGTGTGCTCCATCTAACAAAGTGTGCATCGGCAGCTGCTTTGTCAGGATGATGAGCAACAGAATCTTTCGTTATGTGCATATCAGTCTCTTGGTTAGATGTGAATTCTCTTGACACTAGGAGAGGTAATTCTGTGTGAATTACAGCACGGACTCTCTTCTTACTACGTCGCAGAGCTGCCATTAAAGAACTGAGCATTAGGAATCTATTAAGCCCGTAGATATTTTCTCTTATTTGAGGTATCAACCTACCTGCAAGTCGTCCTTTGATATCTTGATTAAGAAGTTCCAACCATTGGGAAGCTGCATTAGCAGCTGTAATCAAACAGAAGTTCAAATCAGCTCACTTCTTCCTTGTTTATGTGTAAAGTATTTATCACCAAGATGTCGGTGAAAAAAAAAAAAAAAACTAATATTTCAGAAGCATGAGTTAGTATTGCTTGAACTTCAATGATATGCCATTGTCTATTAATCACATGTCAAATCCTCCAGATAGAACATATTAATCATGAAAGTACAAAAAAAGGAAATGATAATGAAAAGCTTCTCCTGCAATTTGTACGTTTTTCAAGCCTTATTGAAACAAACAAATGTATATGTGAGAGAAAACAACAAACCTTTAACAGAAAGTGAAGTAACACCAGAAAGGTTTGCTGACTCCTCTTTTAACGAAGGGCAAGTATTCTCTGATGCAGCGGGTAGTGATGATGAAAGCTTTAGCGTTAGTCCATCCTCATTTTCTGGGGCGTACTGTGAAGGCACCCCACCAGAGATCCTTGTTTCTGCCTTATATGGCTCACCATCTCCTCTGGTAAGATAGGAGTTCAAAGAAATTGATTTGCTCAATGATGGATAGGCACTCATCTGCCATCTTCCTGACAAATTATATTCATGATTAACTCCATATTCGTTCACTCCTCCACAATCCATGTGTTCCAGGTTCGTCCTTTCACTAAATTCTTTCGTGGCACTTTTTCTTTGGTTAGTCTGCTTGCTTCCAGGTTGTTGATTTTCAGTTTTTGCAGATTTTACCACAGCTTCTATAATAGAATGAACCTGTTTACTGTTTCTCACGTGGTTTATGATTCCAGGGTTTAGCCCATTAAGCAACCCACTTGGAGCAGCAATTCTTGCAAACCTATCAACCTGTTCTTTCTTTGCAAGCTCTATATTTTTCTTAATCACTTCATTTTTATTCTTCCTCCCACGTGGCTTTGGCATCGTCGCTGCTGCATAAGAAGTGGAAAGATAATTGTTTTGTTTCATCTTGTTCCAAACTCTCATTGGATCTTTTTCCTCCACTGGACCAACTGAACTTGCACAATCAGAATCATCCCTTTTTTTCAAATTTTCATAGTTTTTATAAGGATAGAATGGGTCTTGGTTGATTGAACTAGAAATATCTTCAGCATTTAGATCTACAACAAACCCTCTCGACTTTTGTTCATTCCCTGATTTGGGCAATCTGTTGGGTTCCTTGATACACACTGGAGTACCGTCACCAACCACATTGCTAGCAAAATCTAAATTGGCATTGAGATCAAGAGCTCTTGGGGCAGTGCTAACCACTTTCTGCGCCTTGTTGCTTCCTCCTCTTCCTGATTGAGCTTAAATCATAACTTATTTTCTCAGTTTTCCTCAAAGGATATCCCACTTTAATCTAACGAGATTAGCACTTTAATTCCTTCACAACAATACTTTAACTTGATATAAATAAAAGAGATAAAGTTCTCTTAAACGTCAAATTAACACACTCCAGCATCAACTTTTAAAGAAAAATCATGCATGATGCTACAAATTAATCTAATAGAAAGGCAAATATAAAATCAAGCATTGGCTTCTTGTGTTCACTGTCTATCAATTCAATTATATCAAGAGGTAAGCAGGTCTATAGGAAACATTACTACTCAAAACCAAGGCACTTTAAAAAATCCAATTTGGAACTAGGACAAAAAAGGAAAACTTTTGCCTCTAATGCAGTTATATCAATCAACAAATATAACATAGGTACCCACATGAGACAGAATTATCGTAAAATGGAAACAAAAAGAAAAAGATATACCTTCCGGTCGAGAAATGGATTCAAGATCCGGCTTCACTCTTTTTGAAGAACGTTCCGAACCCTCTTCATCATCTACTAAACCTCTTTTCTGCGCTAACGCAACCTAACAAAACAAATCCAATAATCCATTCCATTTGACTGATAAACTGACATAGAAGAAGTTTCGAGACCAGATAATAATAAATCTTTAGTAATATTTCTAAGAACCCACCTTTGAATCAAATCTGGACACACTATCCATCTCCTCTCAAAGAGTAAACAAATGGCAAATTCAATTGCCAGGATTCTAAGCGCTGACCTTTTAAGCAAAAACCACAAATTCAAATCCAAAATGATAACTTTTTATTTCCTGTATAAAGAAAAAATCAGAAATACAAAATGTTGGTCAAGAAAATTTCAAGATTCTTAATCGCGCGGTAGTCAAATTTGAAAACGTATAAAGATGCGCGCCCGCTGAGAAGCGTTCTTTATTATAGAGCAGTAAAATGATTTGGGGCATACGCAGAGATTATAAGGTTGTCCTAAGTTTTTCAAGTTCAAATAGAATGAACAGCAAGTTGCCGCTTTCTTTATATATCTGTTTGGTTTCCATCAATGCGGGCGCTTCTAAAATTTCAAAAATTTACTTATGTTAGATGGGTAAAAAATTCGCTTATTGCATCCAGTTTTGTATATAAAAATGTTAATTGTTAAGAGCGAGGAATATTTAAGAGAAGTGCTATATGTACCGTCCGTGTACAAATCAATTCAAAATTTAAAATGAATGTCCTTTATGGACGTTGAAGACTTTGTTGAGTCACATAAATTTCTCGATCTGAATATTGCTCCTTATACACTTCATGTTGTATATTGAGTTTGACATTACTTGCAAATTCAAAAATAAATGAGCGGGAAAGTGTTTTTCATTTTAAAATTGGCAATTCATGCTATGACAAGTGGCTCAATATCAAACTTAATGCCAACAAAAGTGTATATGTAGCAAGATTGTTTGATGTTTGTTGACATGTTGAGGTGATTGTTTTTCTTTCAAAATGAACATGAATGTGAAACATGAATTGTTTCATTAGCCTATGATGTTTTCAAAGTTCGAATCGAAACTATCTGTAGAGAACTGATTCAAGAGAATGAATACGAGGTTACTAATTCAAGAATTAGCCCTGGTTTGGAGAAAATTTATTTAGCTAAAGTCAAATAATAATTTCAATGACACAACTCAAACCGTTAGACATTATTATTTACGTGTTTTATAAAACTCACTCATATTTCTCTTACTATTCATATTTATATACTATTTATAAATTTGCCAAATGGAGTCTTTAATCTTTAAATCATTCCTTGTCTGCACATTCCTAATATTTATAAACTGTTTATATATTGACATTTAGTCATATGGAAAAAGAGATGATGTATGCTAAATCTCAAATTTATGAAATTATAAAATAAAAAACAGAGTCGATACAATATAAAATATTCAAATGAATTTAATTTCTTTTAATGCATCAGACCCAATTTTTTTATTTATCAAACTTCTAAAATAATTTATAAATATTTGAGAATTGGAGTTGAGCTATATCTCGATAACCTCATAAAACACTCCACTAAAGAAATTATAAGCTTGTTTGGTTTAAATTTTAAGCTAATTAAAATCAAATTTTTGATTGTTATTTTATTATTCCAGTCGTCATTTTTGAATTATTCTCTCATAAGTAGGGCCCATTTTACCTCTAACAGTCAAAAAATCAATTATCAAAATTTCTACCAAACAAGCACTATACTACACTCCTTAATTGTACATTTACTTTGGTAGTCATGAAATTAAATATTAATAACACAAGCATTTTCCAATTAAACTGATGAGCTTTGCTATAGGTATCTGGAGTTTGACACTTCTGATTACCTGCTACTCACATGGAGGATCGAGGCCCCAAGCTAATAAATGTGTGGGGCCCGACCCCCTACTCACATCAGGTAACCCGACATCTCAAATGCCGTGTACAAATG